AAAAAAAAAAAAAACCCTTCTTGGTACCTTGTGTACCTGCGCAAGTGCTCAGGAAGGTACCAAGTGCATATTGGGGGCCCGTGACCTTATCTACTACACTGCACATTAAACGGAAATGAGAAAATCTTGTTTGGGGCCCCTCACACAAGTACTGGCTGTATCCCCCTAAAGGCGATCCTGGCCGGGGATTCAGATCGCGACCCCTCCTGTTCACTTGCGCGACCCCATATGGGGTCACGACCCACACTTTAAGAAGCCCTGCTCTAGAGCAGGGGTGTCAAACTCAATTTAATCATGGGCCGCATCAACATTATGGTTGCCCTCAAAGGTCTCTGTAAGACGATATAAATGTATCTCATCTTCATCATCATTGCCTCTGCGTTCCATTATCACGGGTTTTAGTAATAACTTAATACCGAGATCTGAAAGTGGAAGTCTAGGAAATGGCCTGGTGGGCCGGATTCGGCCCCTGGGCCTTGAGTTTGACACATGTGCTCTAGAGGAAGCGGTGCTCCGTGGGATCAGTCCAGCCTGATCTATGCCTTTCCTACCTAAAACACCTTCGTCTGCTCCGCAGGATTAGGATGGAGGGTATTTTGGTGATTCCCATAGCTTAGGATTGGCCCTGGTGGACGTGGTACTCCGATCTGATAAGTTGGACACTGGCGGCGGGACACTCTGCTGGGGACCCTTCCAGATCATCCATAGCTTTTGTCTCCATGACCAATTTGCCATCCTTCTTCTTGGTCCCCGGCTCTGGCTGTTGAAGTCCAGGTTCTGAGGGACAGAAGCATCTCTGAATCTCCAACAATGCTGAAAGCTAGGAAGTTCTTCTCTGTCACCGTACATGGAAGGCATACTTCATTTGGTGCAAGCCGAGAGGCTTTCAACCAATAAATTCTCCTTGGGATGAATCCTCGCCATTTAACAGATGGGTCTGGACCAGCGTTTGGCCTCCAGCACCATTAAGGATCAGGTCTTTGCTCTGCCGTTCTTGTTCCAGAGACATCTCACTTCCCATTCTTTGATCAAGACCTCCCATGTGGTCACCACCTGGTCTTCTGTTCACTTGTTCTCCATGTTTTGCCAGGTGGATGTTCGGGCCTCTTCTGAAGCCAGGTTTAGACGCAAGATCTTTGAGCTGCAGGTAGTCCACAGTTATTTTGTTTTTTTGTTTGCTTTTCGCCTCCCCCAAGTTGTACTGCTTTTGAACGTCCCGACAGTATGACTTCCTGTGTCCCTCAATGGACGAAGCTAATACCAAAGTTCTAATGTACCTGTGTGTTTCACCCTTTGTTGCCTCTCGGTGCTGCCGATCCCCTCCAGCCATTTCCTGTCTGCACGCACTGCATATGAACTCATTCTCATTGACATTTACAGGGCTTGAAAAATCAGCTCGTCCTCTGGTCTGTGACGAGAGGAAGGCGGAGCCTGACGAGTAGCTTCCCGGCCGGCCGTTGTAATTACACGGCCGGGCCGGGAGCTTTACATTCAAGCGATCCCTAGAGACACCCGGCCGCTTGTATAGGAGCAGCTGTCACTGCCGTTGTCGGTCCCCAGATCCGCCGGCCGGGACCGGCACGGCTCTGTGACGGGAGCTCAGTACACGCATCCCCCTCTGATCTCTGGTCCCCGAATGCAGGAAGTGATGTATATTACATCACTTCCTGCATTCCTCTGTCACTCTCCAGCTACAGAAGCTGATGAAGCAGATCTCTGGGGGTACCTAGGTGACATTAGGGGGTCTTGGAGACCCCTGATGTCTCCATAAAGGGGACCTGTCATGTAAATTGGCTATCACATAGGGCGCTTCATAGCCCCTTTTGTAATAGCAATAAAGTTGTGTAAAAAAAAAAAAGCAATACAAAAATTAAAGAAGCATAAAAAAACCCACTACATTTTTTAAGTCCCCCGCCCCCCCACATACACACGCAGATATGCGTCGGGTGCGCCTACGTGCGACAACGACAATTGCGCCTATTGTGCCGCACATGTTACATATCGCTGCAAACGTTGGAATGAGAGCAATAATTTTGTGGCCGTCAATCACCGATGACACTAAACTGATGAGCGGTAAAAGCGTTTTAAGCGTCGCCTATGGCCAATTTTCAGTGTGGTCGTTTTTTGCGATTTCGCAGACGCGCGCAATTTTAAGGCTTGACATAATATGACCCAAAATATGGGTGAGAATAAATGTTTTGCAACATAACGTAGGGAAACTTTTTTTTTTTTAATCACAGTACTTTTTTCATTATATTGTTAAAAAAATTAACCCC